CCCTAATCCTGGGAAAACCTACATGATCTACAACCAGTTCCCCTAACAATTACCTTCTTTGTAGTCTTCCAAGATCTTCATCCATTCTCCAATTCATGTAACACAGTACCTAGCCAACTGTTCAATAATGTTTTTAGAGTCAATTATTCCATGATCCTTGTACATCTGATAAAACCTTTCAATAAACAGGGTAGCATCTCTGCTGTCAAACCAAGGTGCATTTGCCATGCCAGGAGAAGGTATAGAAATGTGGGAATGAACCACAATTCTCTTGTCCTCACCCAGTGATATAATTGCATATGATTCTGTAGTATCTTCAGCCATAGTTGATTCTGATTCCAATTTCTTGGTTTCTTGATCTTTGGTCATGTCACACAGTATGTTCTGTTTATTAGTCAATATCTTCCAAAAATCTGTTTATTGGGCAAGCTCTAGATAAGAGACATTCAAATCTAAGCTCCCTAATCTTATTTCTAAAAAAAACTGATTAGTACTGTGTTCCTAGTTCATAAGATCTTATCTTGAAATAGTGTATTGCTTCATGTGTCTCAGAATTTGTTTTTCTCTTTCTTGACAGTCACCAAATCACTGCATCATCATCTTCAGGTCTCAGCTTGGTCACCAAATGAAGTGGGGTATGATGGGATGCCTTGTCAAAGTAGATGAGTTGGTTGATATGGTGAGAGCACAAGAAAGGTGAAAAATCACCATATAGTAAGAGTATGATTGAGTAGTAAGTGTAGAGATAGATATGTTCTAACAGATGCCTAAGCTTGCAAGAAGTAATAGTACTAAAGAGCCCTGTACTAATACAGGCAGCTCTAATGAGGAACAGTAGCACATTTCATAAACAAGAAATCTTCATATTCTCTAACTAATAGCTGAACTGGTAGTAAGGAACAAGTATGTAGAAAAAAGCAATGTTGCATGAAGATAATAAGCAAGATGCAGGGGCTACAGGTGGTTTATATAGCTCAAGAATAGTAGCTTTGGGATGGTTTGCACCTTGGACTGGAACAATCTTTGTCCTAATAAGGTACTGGAATCCCCACTACAATGTCAGCTGGAAAGATGATTTCTGTGTGGAAGCCTGTTGTGAGTTATTATATGCAAACTCAGCCATTGGCAACTACATCACTCAGTCATCCTGATTATAATTGATATAGCTTTACAGATACTGCTCCAGCACACTATTCAGTCTCTCAGTCTGACCATCAGTTTGCAAGTAGAATGTCATACTCATTGCTCTTACAATCTTCAAGATATGAGTCAAATCACCCCAAAATTCACTCACAAACAGAGATTCTTGATCTGTTACTATGCTTACAGGTAATCCATGCAATCTCACTATCTCACAAATAAAGAGATGGGCTAATTTCTCTGATGTCAGCTTCTTTATTGTAGGGATAAAGTGAGCTATCTTTGTGAATCAGTCCACTACAATCAGGATACAGTTAAACTATACCTTCTCAAAATTCAGGCTTACAGAGAGATCTGTAATAACATCCATACTAATGGATTTTCAAGAGTAATTTGGAATTGGTAAGGGTGATAGTTCTTCTTGAGACTTCCCACAAACTTTTCTTAAGCTCTGGCAGACTCCACAGACTTTACAACACTTCTTCACCAGTTCTCTTATTCTTGACTAAAAGTATTTGCAAGCTATAAGCTCATATATTCTTGCTGTAGCAAAATGCCCTGCAAGAGGTAGATCATAATAACACCTAATCAGCTCTATTTACAGAGTCTCATTCTGAGAGATGTACACACAACTATCTCTATAGAGAATACTCTTCTTCTCTTTTCACATTACAAATTTCTTTATGCCTGTGTTAATGCCTTTACAGATCTCAGCTGCATAGTCATCACTTTGCAGTAGATTTAGTAGTAATGCCAACAGATTGAAGCTGTTCTTTTTATAAGAATTCTTCTTACAGATCAGGTCTTTGGTCTTCTGGATCTGTATTGCAATCTTCTTCACTTTGCACATGTCTTCCAAGACAACCTTCATAAGTAGTTTCTTGATCTCAGTCTGAAGCTTTACAGAGGTGAGTTATGCATTCTCATCTTTTCTCTTCTCTCTCTGATTAAGAGAAACTTGGGCTGTCAGTTCCAACTTTTCTGTGGTCTCTTACTTCTTCACAAGCATTACTCTTAGTTAGTTTGCAGTCTCATGACCCTTCTTATCATCTAGACCAGTCTTCTTGACATAGTCAGGTTTTTGTGAGGGTTCATCTGCCAGGTTCTTAGTTTCTTTCACATGGTTAACTATGAATCAAAAGGCTGTCAGTCTTTGCACCCAGCAGACCTGTCTTCACAAGAGATCTTGAGCAGTCTGGAAGTAGCACAGACTATCATAATCTGTAAGAACTTGAACTGGTGTTTGCAAGCCTTCCAACCAGCAGCACTAATATCTAAATAACTTCACAATCACAAGCAGTTTCTGATCATGAATACTATAGTTCATCTCTGCAGATTGCATCTTCTGTGAATAAAACCCAACTGGAACCCAGATGCCATTTTTCACCAGCTGTAATAGAATATCACACATCATAAAGCCAGATGCATCTGTTTCCAATCTGGTCTTTCATTTTATATCAAAATGGTGAAGCATAACAGCTTCTGCAAATGCTCTTTTCAGACTTATAAAGGCTTCACAATCTTTCTCAGTCATGAAAGTATTGGCTTCTCTTCTTATCTCTCTTCATACATGTCTGCTTAGCTTTGCTTCTCCTCTTCTTAGAAGAGCAGTCAGATTACAGACTATTGGAGCAGGGTACAATGGGATGCCTTGTCAAAGTAGGCAAGTTGGTTGATATGGTGAGAGCACAAGAAAGGTGAAAAATCACCATATAGTAAGGGTATGGTCAAGTAGTAAGTGTAGAGATAGATATGTTCTAACAGACACCTAAGCTTGCAAGGAGTAATAGTACTAAAGAGCTCTGTACTAACACAGGCAGCTCTAATGAGGAACAGTAGCACATTTCATGAACAAGAAATCTTTATATTCTCTAACTAATAGCTGAACTGGTAGTAAGGAACAAGTGTGTAGAAAAGAGCAATGGTGCGTGAAGGTAATAAGCAAGATGCAGGGGCTACAGGTGGTTTATATAGCTCAAGGATAGTAGCTTTGGGGTGGTTTGCGCCTCAGACTGGAACAACCTTTGTCCTAATGAGGTACCGGAATCCCTACTACACTATCTTAGAGAATCTTGAGATGAAGTGCCTGTAAAAGTTTGCAAATTCTAAGAAGATCTGGACCTCTTTCTTACTGGTTGGCTCTGGTCAGTCAAGAATAGTGTCCACACAGCTCTTCTTCATAAGAACACTCTCTGGTGTTATGACATACTCAAGGTAGTTAATCTCACAAGCATTGAACTTGCACTTTGCCAGCTTGCAATAAAGATCTGCATTCTTGAGTATCTTAAGTACTAATTTTACATGCTGCTCATGGTCCTTCTCACAAGCCAAGTACACAACCATATTATCAAGGTAGGCCATCACAAACACATCCAGATATTTGCTAAGTGCCTTCACAATATATGATTGGAAAGCTGCCAGTGCATTCACAAGTTCAAAGAGCACTACCAAGTACTCAAATAGCCCCTGTGGAGTTCAAAATACAGTCTTCCACTTATTTCCTTCACAAATCCTCAGTCTATGGTAGGTATTCTTGACATCCAACTGAGTGAATATTGCAGCTTCTGCAAGCTTATATAATATATCTTCAATCAGTGGTAGAGGATATCTATTCTTGACTGTTTTTGAATTCAGATCACAATAGTCCACATACATTCTTAGTTCATTATTCTTCTTGAACACAAACAGAATGGGTGCTCCTGCAGATGACTTGAAAGATTAGATAAACTCATGGGTTAGAGCACTGTTCAGATATTTACAAAGAGTCTCTTGCTCAGCTTGCAAAAGTCTGTATGTTCTTCTAAATTCTGACTGCTTCCCTGATTCAAGATTTATGGCCAAATCATCTTCACAGTGTGGTGGCAGCTCCCAAGCCCTCTTGTCACTAAACACTTCCACAAGTTTACAGTAGGCTTCCAGTATCTGGAGGTCTAGGTCTGCTGTCACCATCTGTTCTGATTTGTGGAGGGTTATTATATAGATAGGCTTCCCTCCTTTCACAAGCTCTGAGAGATTAACTGGTTTAATCTTCACAAGCAGGTTGTGACACACAGTTTGGAACTCTAGCCTTAGTTTCTTGAAACACATCTTGAGATTTTGTCACTGCAGCCAGCTCAAATTCACTAGTGTAGTGGGGATTCCAGTACCTCATTAGGACAAAGGTTGTTCCGGTCCGAGGCACAAACCACCCCAAAGCTACTATCCTTGAGCTATATAAACCACCTGTAGCTCCTGCATCTTGCTTATTACCTTCACACACCATTGCTCTTTTCTACACACTTGTTCCTTACTACCAGTTTGGCTATTAGTTAGAGAATATGAAGATTTCTTGTTCATGAAATGTGCTACTGTTTCTCATTAGAGCTGCCTGTGTTAGTACAGGGCTCTTTAGTACTATTACTCCTTGCAAGCTTAGGTGTCTGTTAGAACATATCTATCTCTACACTTACTACTCGACCATACTCTTACTATGTGGTGATTTTTCACCTTTCTTGTGCTCTCACCATATCAACCAACTCACCTACTTTGACAAGGCATCCCATCATACCCCACTCCATTTGGTGACCAAGCTGAGACCTGAAGATGATGATGCAGTGATTTGGTGACTGCCAAGAAAGAGAAAAAACAAATTCTGAGACACATGAAGCAATACACTATTTCAAGGTAAGATCTTATGGACTAGGAACACAGTACTAATCAGTTTTTTTTTAGGAATAAGGTTAGGGAGCTTAGATTTGAATGCCTCTTATCTAGAGCTTGCCCAATAAACAGGTTTTTGGAAGATATTGACTAATAGACAGAACATACTGTGTGACATGACCAAAGATCAAGAAATCAAGAAATTGGAATCAGAATCAACTATGGCTGAAGGTACTACAGGATCATATGTAACTATGTCACTAGATGAGGACAAGAGAATTGTGGTTCATTCCCACATTCCTATGCCTTCCCCTGGCACAGCAAATGCACCTTGGTTTGACAGCAGAGATGCTACCCTGTTTATTGAAAGGTTTTATCAGATGTGCAAGGATCATGGGGTAATTGACCCTAAAAACATTATTGAACAGTTGGCTAGGTACTGTGTTACATGGATTGGAGAATGGATGAAGATCTTGGAAGGCTATAAAGAAGATAATTGGGAAGTATTCTCCAAAGAGATTATTCATGAATTTTGTGATCAAGACATCACTTACAAGATTCACCATCAGGATTACCTCTGGGCAATTACAAAGAAACTGTGTGCTTGGGATGGCAACATTCGCGCCTATGTTCAAGAATACACTACTATTGCCAGTACAGTTCAAGCAAATGGAAGGCTTGATGAATTCACTAAGGTGTCTTGGTTTCTTCAAGAGCTACCTGAGAAGCTCCAGAATAAGGTTATTGACAAGGTCAAGCTCAATCTTTCAGATGATATGTCACCTATTGATTTTAGGAAAGTTGTTCAGGTGACCATGGATTTGATCAACCAGTATGAAGGGAATAAGAAGGTTTTTGAAGAAGATGAAATGAAACAAAAGAAAATGGAGAAGCTTGGTGAGCAATATTAATTGGCTAACAAGCCCTCTACAGTTGAAGCTTCAAAGAAAACAGCTAGTTTTGCAAAGACTGAAGAATCCAAATTAAAAGTCAAAGCCAAGAGCTCTGACAGCACCAATATTGAAGCTGCTATTGAAAAGATGACCAACAAGTTCACAAATTTGGCATTGGCCATGAGAGTACAATCAAATCAGATACAAGGGAATTCCAATCAGTATTATATGCTGCAGAGAGAAGGACCTCTGAAACCTATACCAAATTATCCAACAAATGTGACTGTTAATCCTACAACTGTACAAGAGAATACTCAACTGCCAGTCAACCCCTATTTGGCTTGAAATGGCTCTCCTATGACAGGCTATAGTAGTGCTCATGGACAAGAAGAAGCTCAAACTGGAGGAATTTTGACACATCCCTCATGCTTCTACTGTGGAAAACCTGGACATTGTCAATCTCAGTGTTATGAATACCAATCTAATATGAGTAATGGATACTGCCATATTGATAACAAAGGAAACTTACACATGGGCTCTAAGGGTCAAAACTATCAAGCTGTCACTCCTAAACCTGGAATTCTGAACATGTATATTGTGCAGTCTATAAGAGAGGATGAATGAGCAATTCTGGAGTTGACAAGCCCTAAAAAGAAGACCAATCAGCAAGAAGAGACATCTCCCACAAATTCAACCAGTGTGAAGGTCCAAGCAGAATGGCTTGCATACCTAATGTCTGATGGAGAATCTGATTCAGATAAGAAATATGAACCATTGGAAGAAAGGACATCAGTCAATATTGGAACAGTTGGAGAAGCTAAGAATAATCAAAGAGCTAAGATTGCAACACCCCATACTCAGCATACTGGACAATTTATTACTTACCAGAATAATCAGGCTAGTGTTGATGACAATGTCATGGAAGATGTTGAATCAATCAATCAGAAGAAGCCTGAAATTCAGAACAAGTCCACAGAGAAACAAAGACCAAGATATTCTGCAACAGATTACTTATCCTCTCAGATCTGTGATTCAATGAATGCCAATGAATTAATGGGTTGAATTCTCAATGAAAAAGTCAAATTGTCAGTCAAGGAGCTTATAGGTGTATCACCAAAGCTTCATCAAGCATTCTTCAGATCAGGCTGGAATAACAGTACTAGCAAAAGCCATGCAAGAGTTGGAGTCTTCAAACCAGTTCAGCCTGAGCTAAAGATCAATTCCAGTTGACTTACTTCAAAGCCCATGGTGCCAAAATCCAAAACAGCATATGGAATGCGTTCATTATATACACCAGTCACTATAAACCAACAAGAATTAATGGCATTGATCAATACTGGTTCAGAAATCAATTTGTTGTCTCAGAAGTACACTGAAATGTTGAAATTGCCAATGGAAAATAAGCTGCAAGTGACCATGGTTGTTCAAATGGGAGAAGTTGCTTCTTTTTACACATTTTGTGATGAAGTGCCTGTTCAAATTGGAGATATTGTTACACATACCCCTTTCCTTATATTCAAGAGAGGGGATCAGCAACTTATTCTTGGAAGATCTTAACAATTTGCTGCCTGTTGGGGGTGCAACACCTCAGAAGACAGCAGAGTGAACTGTGAAATTTATAACAAAGAACAAATGTGTTGCCTAGTTTTCAAAGACTTTAAGCCAAACTCAAGCAATATGAGATATGCAACTGATAAATCAAACAGCAATCATTTAAACAATTCAATGGGTATTTAATCAGGCGGGTGCCCATGGATACAAGGCCTGAGGAGAATAAAGAAGATGTGATGAAGACAATGGGTATAAGAATTAATGATGAGAAGGTTGAAGATCAGGAGATTGAAAAGAATAGAGAAGTCAGGAGCATTGGCAGCATTGCTGATGTTGGTGCTTACAGCAATGAGAAGAAACATAATTCCAGCATTGGTGAATCCAAAAGCACACTAAGCCTAATCAGATTGACCAGCACACTGGTGAATCAAATGGATTAATCAGAAGACAAGGATAATTTTGCATCAAGAGTTTGGATTTTCTGATCTCCACTTCCCAATCCAGACAGTGTCATGGCTCACTGCAAACATTACACACGCAATATAAATTCCAGTTTAATTTGCAAACCTATTCCATGAAGTGCTCAATCAATTTACACATCTCTGAACAAAAATCACAATTTTGTCACAAAGAAATCACATCAGATAGACATTTTTAATAGTGGATGGGACATTGAGCTGCCTTCTTCAGAGGTCTGGAGAGTGTGCACTGCTTATAAGTGGAAAGCTGATAAGGTAAGGCCATTAGCACCTGGAAAATCTGATGGAAGCAAGCCAGAAGGCCTAGATAATTGGGTGGATGTTTGTTTGGATAAGTATTACTTTCAGAAGAAACACATCACATTTAATTGTGAATTTGATGACCATATTAGGCCTAGGATTGTGCCCTTTCCTGTTGGAGAATGGCTAACAAATGAGAGAATTAAGAAGCTCAAAATTGGATTTGAACTGACAAGTCAGGAGAAGGAATTTTTTATATCAGTTCTTTATAAACATGAAGGGGTGTTGGCTTGGTCATTCAAAGACCTATGTGGTGTTCATCCTGAATGCTTGCCTCCCCAGGTTATTTGGACAGAGCCCCATGAGGCTTGGCAGACTAAGACTTACCAAATTTCTTGTGCTCTACATGATAAGCTAATTAAAATCATTCAGAACAGGTTAGAAGCTAAAACATTGGAGCCTTGCCATGGTTTATATATCAATCTCTATTTTCTGGTTGCAAAGAAACAGAAAGGTGAATATCATTTAGTTGACACAGCACATATGTACAACAAAGTTACTATTCAGGACACTTTTATTTCTTCTAATGTTGACAAATACACTGAAGACTTTGGTGGACTTGTTATGGCTAGCCTATGCAACTTATTCTCTGGATACAATAATTTTCTGTTAGCTGAAGAAAGCAGAGATATGACAGCCATTGCAACCCCTATTGGGCTCTTTCACCATACAACTTTAGTCCAAGGGGCAACAAATTCACCAGCTCAAGCCCAACACAGGATAATGAAGATAATACACAAGGTTTTTCCAGAGATTGCTCAAGTCTTTATGAATGACCTTGGGGTAAAAGAATCACATATCAAAAATGAAACTGAAGTTCTCTCAGAAATAAGAAGATTTGTTTATGATCATCTGCAGAACCTGGACTACATTCTATGGCTTGTCAAAATCTCTGGGGCCAGGATCTCCAGTGCCAAATCTCAATTCTGCATGTCTGGAGTCAATGTCATTGGATGAGTCTGCAACTATAACAGACAACAACCTGAGGAAGCCAAGGTGGCTAAAATTGTGAATTGGCCTACTTCTACAAGCATTACAGAATTACAAGGATTTCTAGGGCTTGCTGGATATTTCTGAATACTCATAGAGCATTATAGTTGGATAACCAAACCTTTACATTATCTGCTTCAACAAAATGTTACATGGACATGAACTGAAGAGCAAAATGACATCTTTATGCTTTTGAAAGAAAAGTTATGTTCATTTCCTATCATTCTCCCAATCAATTATGAACAGGATCCTTTGCTTATCACTGTGGCTGTTGATGCCAGTGGATTAGGATGGGGAGAATGCATTATTCAGGAGCAACAAGAAGCTCAACATCCTGCATGATACAAATCTGGAGTATGGAGTGATTCAGAGAAAACATATGATGCTGGCAAACAAGAATGCAGAGCTGTTTTGAAAGTCTTCAAGAAATTCCAACACTATATCTATGGAGTGCCCTTTACCTTGGAAATTGATGCAAAAACTCTTGTTGCCCAACTTAATAGAACTGCTACAGATGTTCCAGGAGCTTTGGTTACCAATTGGATAGCTTGAATACATCTCTTCAACTTTACTGTTAAACATGTTCCTGGGACAAAACACACAGCTGCTGACAGACTATCTCATCAAGAACTAGATATTGGGGAACAGTCTGAATCTGAAGAAGATGAAGATCTGTTTGCCTTTATGAATCCTATAAGAGTTTTAGCTGGCCGAGCTCTCAATAGTGAAGACCTTAGGATACTGGACTCCACATATTCAGAAGAATCAGAGAAAATTGCACAATACCTAACCACCCTATCAAAACCATTGGGCATGGAAGGAAAAGAGTACACAAGATTCCAAAGAAAAGCAATTAAATATGTGGTGGAGGCTGATCAGCTATTTAGGCAAGCAGGATCTGGTGTGCCTCTAAGACATGTTGTGGACAACAAAGAACAGCATGAACAAATTTTACACATGATGCATGATAAATTTGATTATAAAGGGCAAGAGAGAACATACTCTGCCCTACAAGCTCAATACTGGTGGTCAGAAATGTATAAAGATGTATCTGCTTATGTGAAGCACTGTTCTCAATGTCAATAAAGAGATTCACAAAGATTGAGTGAAGAGCTTTATTCTACCTGGGCTTCTATCTGTTGGGAGAAAGTTGGGGTGGATATCAAGCACATGCCTTTCTGTCAAGGATGAAATTATTTGGTTGTTGTCAGATATGACTTTACTGAATGGGTGGAAGCTAGAGTCTTGAAAAAGACAACAGCTGAAGCTGTGGCCAAATTTCTTTATGAGAATATTATCTGTCAATGGGGCCTGCCTGCCAAATTTGTTATGGATAGAGGACCAGAAAATAAGAACATTGTGGAGACCTTACTGAAGAAATTCAACATTAAACATATTGTTATTTTGCTCTATAACCCTTCTGTGAATGGTATGGTGGAAGCTGGCCATAAGTCTTTGGCTGATGGACTAGCTAAAGCTACCAATGGCACTGGGAGGGATTGAATTAAACATCTTCCTGCAATTCTGATGGCAGATTGAATGACAACTAAGGCTAGTACTGGTGTCTCCCCTTATAGATTGCTAATGGGCCAGGAGGCAGTTCTTCTAATTAAACTCAAGATTCCTACTTAGCAAACAATTCCCTGGCAAAAGGTTCAAACAACTGAAGACCTGCTTCTGATGTGAGCATGGTAAATCAAAAGACAAGATAAGGATGTTCTGGAAGCAGCTCATCATCAGCTCCAAATGCACACTAGAAATAAGGAATACTTTGATGATATCCATAATATTCAGACCAACCCTCTTCTACCTGGAGATCTTGTCTTGCTTCACAATACCAAAGGAGAACAGAATATGTCTAGGAATAACACCCTGCACTTTCAATGACTAGGATCCTATAGGGTTAAGTCTGCCAATCAAGAACTAGATGCCTATCATCTTGAAGAGTTAGACAGCACTGAACTCAAAGGATCTATTGCAGGAAACAGATTAAAGAAGTATCTTATGAAACCTGGAATGGAGCCA